CACAAATGTCATTTGACTTATGGCATGTGAATTTGTGGTTGCCACATCCAACAAATTGTACTTATTGATCAATATTATTGAAGATTTGACGGAGATTTAACTTAAATCTACTGCCTTTCGAGATTTAATTTTATATGGTAAATCTCAAAAGATTTAACGTCAAATCTCGTCAAAGGGCTAAATCTTCATTAAATCTCACAATGGAGACATAGTATTATAAAGAAGTTCAAAAACAAAAATTCAACTAACAAATTGTATGCATAATGACACTAAGAATTACAACAAATACACCATTTTGACATTAAGAATAACCAAGGCTAAAATCCAGCTGCTCTGGTAACCCTCCCTTGCCTAAATTCGCCTTCATTTATCCTATATCAATAAGAACTATGTAATATTGTTTCGTAAAAAAAACTACCAACTTCTACCAATTTTTGTATGTAAACTCTACCACCATTATTTTTTCCATTCCCGTGCACTGTTTCTGCCTCTTTTTTCTTTCACTGGAAAATACACCTCGAACTAAAGTTTTAGCCAAATGCGCTACTAATTTGATTTACAGTCCGGCTGCACTGAAAATTATAGGGTATGCCACCTGATAATTATCGCAATATTGCAGTCTTATAGCTCTGTTGCTAATACTCAACTGGAAATCCACTGACCTGCTCCAGAAATCGCGCAGTAGTATGTGTAACTTTGTATACGTTCTATAAAACTATCTAACCTCTATACAACCCCCAAGTCCACTTACGTAAATGATAACTGCCAAGTCGTTCCGGGGGTTTTCTGTGCTATCCTTGCTGCCATTATCGAACACAGTAAACGAGGTACCGAACACATTTGAACGCAATTTGCCGCAGAAGCCCTCCGCGTTGCGCGATAAGTCTGTAGGATCGCAGCTGATAATGTAGTTGGATGTTTTACTCTTCTTTCGTTTGCGTCCTTAAGGCAGTGCAACATTGTTAAATATCCACTAACATTTATATTCATTTAACTTACCTCCCAAGAGGAATATTTTCTTTCCGTAATCCCGCTCCAAATGTAAATAGTAGATAGGAAACAGTCCACGATCCATACCCTTGCGGTCGCGGGTTATGCGGCACTTAAAGAGCACACCTTGCGACGCCGGCTGCATAACGAATTGCTCCATGTTGCCGACGACATCGCCTTCCGGTTCGCCGCTAGCGTCCACCGGCGAGGTCGTTTGTTGTGCACTGTTTGAGTAGTTGGCAGTGATGTTCGCAGAGCCGGACGAGTGGGCCGATGAGCTGCGCGGTGCATTGGTGGTGGCAACGATGCTGTGGTTCAAAGGCATTACGGGCGCTGCTTCCTCAATATTGCGATTCGCGTAATCGTCTTCGTCCAATGTGCTGCTGTCCCGGTCGTGGCTGTATGAGTGTTGTTGATGCTCTTGCATTTGTTGTTGTTGACGTTGTCTTTGCCTTTGTCCGTTGATGATGACGTGGTTGACAGGACTACTTTCGTCGTCTTCAAGCTCATGCGACGATATCTCCTCAATTAAATCTGTAAGCAAAGCAGAAATCACGGAGGAGTAAGTGAAATAATATATATGTATTGACTGTAAACTGCTCAATAATAACTTTCATCAAGCTTACCATCCTGATTGATGATGTGGCTCGTCCCATGAGCTGTCCGCGGGCGCCCATTGTTCGAATTACTGCCGCGCTGTCGGCCATTTGTGCTGACCATGCTGTTACTAGAAATGGCGGTGGTTGTTGTTGGTGAGGTGGTGGCGGTGCTGTTGCTTAATAATTGATCGGGATTGTGTGGTGAGCTGATGAACTGCATGGGACCATCGTAAGCATGCAGCTCGCGGCTATTGTCCGTTGATGTGCGCAGTCCGGACATAGGACGGGTTATTTGTAAGTCGCTGGCCTGCACCATTCCAGGAGAGGCGCGCTTTTGTCGTATATACGCTTCCATTAGCAGGCGCTACAATGAAAAGGAAAAGAGGAAAAGCGGTTCAATAAATAAAACTCAAGCGCATTCGCACATATGAAATATAGAGCTCAAAAGATAGTTACTCTACTACCAAACAGATTTCAGAACTACATATTTTTGCATGTACGCTTTAGGCATGAATCGTGGAATTTGAAATTTCGGCTAGTATGTTTTGCTCTCAGTGGAAAATTAACACATCACTTAAACCTACTAAGTATCTTGAATTTTACCCACAGTAGAATAGTTATTTATTTATTTTTTATCGCCCATTAGTCGAAATCTGAATCCAACTGGGTATAGTCGTTCTTCTGGGTATAGCTTGGTATCCAGCGCTCAAGATAACCGAAAACTCAATATAACTGCTAAAGAAATGGCGAAGAAAATTTCTTGTGTTAAATTTCCTTCTAAACTGTTTTGTGAAAAAGAGCACAAGGAAAACCCATGTTTGCAACATAAATATACGCCCGTTTCATTATTTCGTGAGGAAAGAGTGATGCAACAGGCTGCGAATTATCGTATGTAAAAATTGCTAGGGCATTTTTTTTTTTCTTGACCGTGCCCTTAAGTACTGGATACTAAGCTTAATTATGTAGTTACAGTTGCAAGAATTTACTCAATACCGATTCTTGCGTTCCTGTGAGTGTACGTGAGCAACCCTTGTGGAGTCTGAAGTTAGCATCGTCTCCTCATCAGCAGGTGCAGCTGAAAGCGGCTATTGTTTTGAAGCAGTTTCATGTATTATACATTTGAATCTTTATACATACATCCCTCGTCATCAATGGGCAAACTCGCCATGCGTCCCTGTGCTCCTAGCAGCGCGACGACAGTTTGGTGTCGAAAAGCTGCAGTCACATCGTACAGCCGAAAAATTTTACAAACTCCTCATTGCCTGATTATAAATGAGCGGTAAGATCCCATTTCTGAAGCACTTCATATAGCTGCTGAAGAAGTGGCATTCAAAGACACCCTGCAGCAATGGCGACGTGAGCTAGTATTGAGCTATAACAAAGTGAACGCCTAGAACCGAGGAGAGACATCTTTTCAAGAAGAGGTAAAGAGCGGCAGTAACAAGTGAGTGCGAAGAGGTTGAGATTGTGGCAAGCAGGAATGCTACTCGAAAGCACACACACGCAAGATTCAAGTGGCTTTAAGGCCAGTTTTAATTCCTGTCGAGAAGAAAATGGAAATCTAGCTACAGACGTCTAGAGAACACTTCTCAATGATAACACAGGTCATATGACGAAGAAGAACCCAATGTATGAAACTATCTTTCTTACACTCGACAAAGACGAGAAAAGAGCGAAAATAATATCGAGCCCTCGGCATGCCGGCTGAGCTCAGGACGCATGTATCAGCTGTTTAGCAAAATTTGGCCTGATGAATATATGAAGTAGAGTCCAACCGATTGGTACCGAAGAGGATGAAATGGCATACTGAACGACTTTTTAATAACAAGGTCATTAGAGCGGATTAAAAACATGAATTTTAGAATTCGAATTCGACGGGATGTGGAAAACTTGTACTTATAACCGTATCGAAATACACCACAAAAATTTCAGCCCGAGTTTGCTTCACCATTATCTGACAACACCGATAGAATTAGATTTTCTGGAAGATAATGCTTTATTGCTACTCACAGTGACAACAAGGTCTCGTTGTTTCTTTGGCAAATACCTTGAGTTTTGAAGCACTTCAAGCGACATCGCGAATCAGGAGGGAACATGTACTTTTAACAGGAAAGTCACTAATGCTTTTAAATTTGCCGAATGCCTTGGAGTCCTGTCATACAGCCGAAGAATCCACATTGACGCTGTCAGCCATATAAAGTGTCATTTAGGAACAACAACTTTCCTGACAAAATCTGCACTACAAGATCCTGACGGAATAGCATTGGAAATTTCATACAGGTACTTTTTACTGAGTTCTTTTTTCTCAAGAGATGGGAATTTTCAGAGACGGGAAATTGCTTTCCGATTGCTCCAGAAAATGTGTTAGGTCCAATAGTGGAACCATCAAGATGTTCCAATAGATGTCTGCGTGTAATGCCATTGCAATGGCCTGTTGCGTACGACTCTTATAGTCTGCATTTAGATGAGTGCCATCGCAACTAAGTGCGACAAGACTCTCAGTTCCGTTCCCACGAGCGTCGGGTCTACGTTGTCGGAACAACCCAGATTTTTATCTGGCCAGGGACTATCACTCCAGTAACACTTTGCAAATACACTTTGGGGAATCTGTATGCTGTTACAACAACAACAGACGCTCAATTCCAACGTTTTGTTCTAAAAATCCTAAATACATATATTGAACTTGCTCCCTGGACAAGAGAAATGTGCTCCTCTGTTTGTGTATGCTTATAAAATTTAGCCACTTCCTCAACCTAAACAACAGTATTTACTTTAAGGCTTACGAAATAAATACCTCGCATATTTTTAAGGACGTTATTGGATGCAACACATGAAGATCTCACCGTAGACCTAGGCCTTTCACCCCCCGGTTCACTTTTCACTTTTGGTTTCCATGGTTTTACTAAGGGCGGATAACTAATTTTCGGCTGAATTTTTTCCAGGCGAAACTCAGGGTAAGGCAGATTGCTTTTTAAAAATCTTTTCGGGAAAAACCATTTTTAAATAAATATTAAAAATTTTTTTGAAGAAAACTATTATTTTTGCAATAAAAAATAGTTAATTCGGAAAAAATAATTTTTGGGAATGAAGATTAAAAAAATAATTTTTTAGTTAAAAAATTCTTGGGTAATCAGTATTTTACTGGACAAAAATTAATTTAAAATTTTTACGAAAAAAATATTTTTAGTACCCTTATGCATGAAAAACTAATTTTTATTTTGAGGGAAAAGAATGCTTGGGAAAACATTTTTCTGAAAAAACTACTTTAAAAACCCCAAGAAAAAAAAATATTTTCTAGCATTTTTTTATAATAAATAAGTTGAAAAAAACAGTGCTTAGCTGAAACTAATAAAAAATTTTGGGAGCAAATTATTTTCTATATTGATTTTATTTATTAGAATTTGATTTTTTAGACATCGATTAATCACATTTTACAAATGATTTCATGATTTTCTAATTATAAGCTTAGGGTTAAGAATAAATTCTCTGCTCTTTTCGAAAATACATAGGGTGCGTTCAGAAATGCATCAAGCCAAAGCATCAGTCTCTCTTACTTCTAAACTATAACTGATAGAAATGCCTTATTTACGCAACTAAGTTCCAATTAGGCATTTAATCGGGGTTGCGCATATTGGCCATTTCCATCAATTATAGTTTAGAAATAAGGGCGTCTGATGCTTTGGCTTGATGCATTTCTGAACACACCCATAATCCTTTCGGTAACAATTTTAAAGTAAGCAGCTGGGATTGAAACCTTTTGATATACATACATATATCTAATCCATATTCAGCTACTATCTAAGCAGTTTCAATAAATGGAGTCTTAGGCGGGCATCGATCAGAATGGATGCCAACACTTTGTGCTAAGAGTGAAAGTTCGCCCCTCTAACCACTCGGCCACGACGGCCGATAGAATAAGAAACAAAAATGTGATCGCTAAATATTTTTTATCATCTAAGACTATTTTTTGAAAAAAGGTTCGAGTTCAAAATACAAATTTGTAGGTGGTTTCGACGCAGTCCACTGAATTGAGACAAGAAATTTTGATTGGAGTGATAGCGTTTAACACATTTTATGATCCGCTTGGGAAAGCCAAAACTTTTTTCCTAATGCTCCCCAAAATATACCAACACCATACTGTGTACAAGGGAACCCCATGCGAAATCCGTAAATGACGAAATCATGTCAGATATAATTAAAATAAATGA